ACACACACACACACACACACACACACACACACACACTCACACAAACACTCACGCGCACGCACACAGACACATGCAAACACACGTGAACTCTAGTGTGCTTGTTGATTAATGATATGACAAGAAAATCATCATGCGGTTTGTTAAGATATAAGCTTCTTCCACTTTTACTTGCTTGCTCTATCACCTGGCATAGTTACAGGTGTCTGTGGTGTGGTGGTTAAGATATTTTTCTCTATCGCACGCAGTAGACCCAAGTTCAATTCCCCAGTGTGGAGAACGTTTATTAAGTGTCTCGGTCTTTCTGCTAGGTTGTTGTCTCCCTCTTAGCCCAAATTGGCCCTGACAGACGCAAGGGTAGGAAGCCTGCCTCCTAAATAAATAACCTAACTGGTGTCGATGGGTGCATAAATATCTCATGAAAAATCAGCTGTTGTTGCTTTTACTTAATTGCTATAATTATCTATAACTATTTCCTTGTTCAATCATCCACAGTTACAACTTAACTACACTTATTCAATTCTAAACAAGTCTTTTTCTTCTATTCTTTATGTGTCTCTTCAGACTAGAAAAGTCTCCTGCCGAGGAAGAACAGGACCAGATCTACGAGGTAACATCTGGCAGTTGTTTGTTTGCTTTGGGGGGTTTTTCCTTTCGAAGTTTATGTGCCTGCTGTATCTTTTTCACGTTATCGGTTTATATTTCTCTAGAGCGGCGAAAATTGTGCAGTGGAACTCGGATTCAACGAACTCGAATTCAGGGAGGGACGACAGATTCCCAGGATTTTTCAAAAATTCATTAAACTCACCAAAATAACTTAGATAAATGAGTGAGCTTAGACACGATTTAACTAATCTTATCCACTCTATTCCAAGAGACCACCGATCACACTTGCATTATCGGTCATTACACATTAGCCTAGCCTGTTTCCGTACATCTCATGCGTGCGATTAGAGACCTTCTTTCACATCGGGACGTGCGTTGTTGACACGCACGTAAGACATGGCATGTTTTTATGTGTACCTAGGTCAAGAAAGGTCGGTCGAGTAGCTGTAAGTGCGTGTGTCTGTCTGAGAGATGTGTGTGTGTGTGTGTGTGTGTGTGTGTG